AAAAAATGCACGTAAAACTAGATGGTAGAGGGGGCCCGCCACACGAAAAAGCATCTATGAACACAGAAAAATTTCCCTTCTTTTATCCAGGGAAATGCCCCCGGCTCAAACACGGATTCAATTCAGGTTGATTCTAGAATAACTCTGGACAGCCCGCAATGCAACAGGCGAACGAAAATAGAATAGGAACAAGGAAGGGAAATGAAGAAGAAACACAGAGAAAAACACGTCAGACGAAAGGACGAGACTGCGGATCCAGGGAACAGTGAGAAATTTCAAAGCCGGTTGAGTCCCCGGCTCAAACATCAGCTTACCGGGACCCCAAAGTCCTTGGCACTGGCTTAAGTAAGTGGGGCAGATCCCCCCATAGCAAACAGCCTTGCCTCCTTCGCACAAGGTGCCATCTTGCTTGTAGACGTTGGAAGGGCAGCGTGGCGATGCCCCATCGCAGAATTCGGGGAGGTCACATTCGTTTTGGGCTACGCGGCAGACATGTCCAGCATTGCGTAGCTACATGGGGGAGAAGAGGAGAGACGGTGTTGCCCCCCACTTTATTTTTCGGAAAGGGGGAGCTTACGCACAGCAAGGTTTGAGTTGGAGAGATCGCTCGGGGGCTCTCCGCAAAGGGATCATCTTTTCCCTATTTTCTGTTTCAAAATTCCCGCTCGATGGGTGGAGGGAGAGAGGCCGGACTGTCATTTGAACGTGCCGGCTCTGCACGGCCTTGCCCAACCCGTGCCCCCCATCGGAAGGGCCCCAGCTTAAGCCAGGGGACTCTTGAAAAAGAGTTTGGGGAGCAAACTTCTCAGGAGTTTCCTCGGCTTAAGCTGGGGCCCTTAGCCCCCGATGGGGGGCACGGGTTGGGCAAGGCCGTGCAAAGCTGGCACGGTCAAATGGGTTGGCTTCCATTGGGGGTGGAGAGCAAGAACGGAACCCGGGCATTCTTCTAGAGAGCCGGGTTGAGGAACAAAGAGTTTCTGGCTGAATCCTGGGTTTGCATCGGAAGGGGGCTAAGAATAAAAGGAAGGTGTCCCCCCACCTCTTTGGGGCAATTTACCTTGCATTGGTGACAGCAAGGGTCTCCAGTGGCACACTGGGCTCCGGGCATCAATTTGCACGAAGTTGCGTTGCAACAAGGATCTGTACATTCCTGGACAGTGAAGAAGGAGAAAAGAGAAGGGAAAAAAATGAAGATTTTGAAAAACCCGTCCTATAAGAAATCGCTCTAGATCAGACTTGGCAACTTCAAGATGCTGGCTGGGGACTTCTGGGTGTTGAAGGCCACACGTCTTAAAGTTGCCAAGTTTGAAAAACACGGCTCCAGATGTTTGCTTCAGTTTCGTACAGGGGTGCAGGCGTGGAACCGGGTTTTTTGGCAGGTTTTGAGATCTTCTAGACTCCAAGCATTACCCCCCCCCCCCCA